CATACTCGGGAGTATATTTGTATTTACGTTTTTTAAAACTTCTGTTAAGTTTTATTTTTAATTACTTATTTGCATATGTATTAAAAAATATCATGAGGCTGCTCGCAAAAATTCACATTTTCAACATCTTTTCCAGCCCTGAAATAAAAACATGCTCTAAGAAAGTGCTCAGAATAATCATTCCTGCTAGTAGGTTTAGCTTCAGGTTGGACAAGTGTTTTTTTTTTTCTTTTTCAACATTTATTTATTTTTGAGAGACACAGAGAGACAGAGCACGAGCAGGGGAGGGGCAGAGAGACACAGAATCCAAATCCTGAGCTGTGAGCGTAGAGCCCAATGTAGGGCTCAAACCCACAAACCATGAAATCCTGGCTGAGTAGAAGTTGGAAACTCAACCAACTGAACTACCCAGGTGCCCCAGGCAGGGCAAGTATTTTTAAGGCTTACGTGCAAAGCACTAGATTCCATGGACATAAAAGGAGGAAAGCAGCCACACAGCCTGAGGAGAGATCAGTAAGGAGAAGTTGTGACTTTAGCTTACAGTGACTGGATGATTCTAATAATTGGAATAATGAATAATAACTGGAATATTTGAGGGGCATCTAGGTGGCTCAGTTGGTTAAGTGTCTGACTTTGGCTCAGGTCATGATCTCATAGTTTGTGAGTTTGAGCCCCACGTCGGGCTCTGTGCTGACAGCTCAGAGTCTGGAGCCTGCTTTGAATTCTGTGTCTCCCTCTCTCTGTCCCTACCCCGTTCACACTCTGTTTCTGTCTCTCGCTCTCTCTTTAAAAAAAAAAAAAAAACAATAATTAAAACATAATTGGAATGGTTGAAGTATTGTGCTTGGACTCTAAGCCCAGTTGTGTGCTTACAGCTGTACTCACTAAAATGTGATCGAAGAGTTGGTAATCTGGGCCCACATGGCCCCTAAGTTGTTCAGTTCTTGTTGCAGTCAGCACAGCTGCCACAAGCACGGCATTTTAGTGGCAAGTTTATTTGCAGGAAGGAGGGAGAGAGGCCAAGGACCTTCCTTCCTCTCTGGGACCTTCTCTGTGCTCATTAACAGAATTGTCAGCAGGCAGCCCGGTGAAAGCAGGCGACGTTCACCCCAGTCAATTCTGCTACTCGTTAGCAGCTCTGGCAAGACAGGCGGAATTAAAAGCTGGGAAAAACCACTTTAGGGAGCACATGCTGAAGTCACATTTTGTTCTTCCCGCTGGATAGATTTCTATAATTCTTGTTCTTTTTGATACTCGTCGACATGGAAAATTCCAAGTTCTCTGCAGAGGACTTCACTCTATTCCGTTTTGCTCTCCCCTCCGCTCCCCTTCCTCTTGGCCCTAGTTGAGCAGTCTAGGAAATCTGGACCCCAAAAAGCAAGCAATGGGGGAACCCAGTGGACAGTGGAGAGAGCTGTGCACAGGCTCTTCACCCACGCTCTCAGTCTAACAAAAACCGCCTTTTTAGGAAAAGAGGTTTGGGATCAAAAAGAAAACCTGAGGTTTGAATCAGATAAAGGCTAGACTTCAAGCTTGAGTTCAAACACAGACTCTGATCCCACCTTTGTTTCCAACATGAACGAGCAGGGCTTACATCAATCACTATGAGGACTTTCAGAATTTTACTACAGGGAATTTAAAAGTAAGAGCATCAGGGCCCAAAAATGTTTGAATACTTTCTAGAACAATTCTAGAATAATCTACTTTAGATCAAGTACTAATTAAGCATGATCAGGCGACTGTGATATAGTGCACAAACCCAATATAGTTCATTTTATACCGTAAGTAGTATCATCTTTTTGGATTTAAAAAACATATTATCCCAGAAAAAAATTATGATGTCTAGATTTCCTGGGTCAGATAATATCCTCAGAGTCTGTCGCCTTTAGATGTTGTCTTCTGCCATTAGAGTAACGATTCACCATTATGTTAACACTGCAAGTAATAGGCCTTGTAGAGGTCACCACAAGCTTAGTAGATCCTTCTTTCTAGTTTCTACACAAGTATATGTGGAAACACCCTTCTCAGCATATGCAACAGATGTGATGTGGTCACCAGTACATATTGAGGCTTAAAAGGATATCTTTTCCCTTCTGTAGAATATTAATAAATTTAGCATTCAGCTATTCTTCTCAACCATTAATATGTTTCTATAGAAAATTGATAAATCTGTCTGCTACCTCCTCCCATTCATCCCTTTTCTATTATATATTCATCCCCTTCTATTTTACAGACAGGGTTAAGGTACCACGCCTGCTTACTGCACTAAAATGACTATAAATTGATTTTTTCTGATTAAAACAAAAAACATCAACATGAGTATGTGCAAATGCAAGATGCTTTTGATGCAGAACTGTTTTCAAAAGGAGACAGAGGGAATTAAGATACTCATTGGGAAATACTATTTCTATATTTCCATCCTAATTGTTTCACGCTTATAAGGTAGAATTGCTTGTTCAAACTCCCCCAGATTTTGAAGTTTTACTCAGATCTTGAAATTTGCTAATATTCTTCAAAGGACCAAGATACCAGGTCTTCAAGAATGACAATGTATGATTTTCTCTATAACATTTGAAAATCTCTGCTGTCAGCCCAGAGTCTGCTTCAGATCCTCTGTCCACCCTCCCTCTCTGTCTCTGTCAATCAAAAATAAATATTTTTTGTTAATGTTTACTTTTGAGAGACAGAGACAGGGACAAAGTGCAAGCAGGAGAGGAGCAGAGAGAGAGACACACACAGAATCCGAAGCAGGCTCCAGGCTCCGAGCTGTCAGCACAGAGACCGATGTGAGGCTCTAACCCACGAACCATGAGATCATGACCTGAGCCAAAGTCAGACACTTACTCGACTGAGCCACCCTGGCTCCCTAATAAATATTGTTTTTAAAAGAAAGTACATGTTTAAGAAAATGTATATTTTCTTTACAAAGCATTATAAAGTCACCTCATGCTGCTGCTGCAAGTGACATTTAACCAATGGAGTTGATGATTTAACCAATTATACTTTCCTTTAGTGCTTTAGACAAAAAGCAATCCTCACCTGGTCCACTCAACAAAGTCCAAAAAGAATTGGCCAATAAGAATTCACTGTAACTGGAAAATGCAAAGTGCCTCCTAGTCATAAATGCATTCCTGAACTTGATGCTTCCGAAGGTTAGCCTTCCCGGATGCTGACTGCATCAAGACACCATAAAAGTGACACAGGAAAAAATCCAAGAGCAAAAACCTAATCAGCTGCATTGGGATACACCCAACAGGATGACGAGGTTCCAAAAGGTAGGGAGTAAATCCTCAAGCAGGTACAACTATGAACCTGAATAGCTTCTTTCCAACTCTAATCCCTTCAAGCAGGTGTTCGGGGTCACCCTGCAAAGTAACAGGGCAGTGACTGAACATCTTTTCTGCAGGAAGCCACTGCAATCCAGACAGTGCTGTGTCTGAGTGTTATCCAAGTGCCTGAGAGAAAGTACGAGAACTCACAGCCTGAGAACATAAGGAGACGTGCAGAATCTGTGATCCTGGAGGAGACTGGAGGCCAACATAGTCTATGGGCCTAGATCCAACATTTCTCTGGGATTTTCTCTTCTACCTTCATTAATCCAAAGCTCTCTGTGGACATGCTACTATGGTGGCTTTCTTCTCCAACTCCCTTCTCTCCTTCCTCATTTTCAGGCAGAACAAGATGGCTACCGCTCACGGTAAATGGCGTATCTAGCTGCACGTGTCAACTCTTAGTCTCGGGATGAAATTGGAGACATTTGGGAATGTGTTCTGGTGAAGACCTGTCTTCTAACTGTAGAGACTTCCACGTGAACCTCCCCTGACTTTGACCCTCAAAAGAGTGATATTCTGTTCAGTTACTCAAATCTTAGAGATATAAACATAATTTTAAAAACAATTTGTTTCTTTATGCATGTGTTTTTATGCAGCCCGTTAAAAAAACAAACACCACAGGGGCGACTGGGTGGCTCAGTTGGTTAGGCATCCGACTCTTGGTTTCGGCTCAGGTGGTGATCTCACTGTTGGTGAGTTCAAGCCCTATATCTGGCTCTGTGCTGACAGCATGGAGCCTGCTTGGGATTCTTTCTCTCCCCGCCCTCTGCCTCTTTCTGCCCTTTCCCTGCTCTCTCTCTGTCTCTCAAAATAAATAAACTAAAAAAAAAAGAAGGGTTACCATAAATCATATTTCTCAACCTTTTTCCTCATTATCATCTCCCTTAAGGAGCTATTTTAGACCTATTTTTTCCTCATCACACACCCCCATGAAATTTTAATATCATAGATATACTATGTATCTATTTACGGGATATACACATAAAAAGGTACCATTTTTTTCACCCACAAAGAACCATTTTTTAGCATCTTGGGGGAGATATAATCTCTCTTGAGGATGCATGATCTTGAAGCATGCAACAACCGAAATGATTGTGCCAGAGGTATCCTAAATACTGTTTCTCTAATACTATACTAATACTATAAATCACCACAAACTACATCTTTTCTTTAAAAATTCTCTTAATTTTTTAATGTTTATTTATTTTTGAGAGAGAGACAAAGGCAGCGTATGAGCGGGGTAGGGGCAGAGAGAGAGGGAGACACAGAATCCGAAGGAGCTGTGACAGCTGTGTCAGAGCGAAGGACAGCTCTGAGCTGTCAGCACAGAGCCCGACATGGGACTCGAACTCAGGAACTGCAAGATAATGACCTGAGCCAAAGTCGGATGCCCAACCGACTGAGCCACCCCAGGTGCCCCAGCATCCTTGCTTTAGACCAATAATCTGTACTGACGGGCTCTAGACCAACAATGTCTTAATCTCCTGAGATTGCGACTAAAACACAAAGCTTCCCCCTGTACTGCCTACCACGTCTTCATTCACCCGCCACAAGAAAGCCCACAGAAGCAGCAAGTGCCACCCTCAGGTTAACGCCAACCCCAAAGAAAGAAAATCACAAGCACAATCAACCCCTTTCTCCCTCCGGAAACCAGAAAAATGTACTTACCTCTTGCCGTTTGAAGTTCTGGACATATTCTTCAAACTGTTCATCTTTGGTCTCATCAGCTTTCCCAAGCTTCTGAAGGACCTAGTTTGCAAACGAAACAAAAACGGTGTGATTTAATTATGTCTTTAAATAATTGGCAGGGCAAGGCTGTTGTTTTGCTCTTCAGAGAAGATATCATTCAACACAGCTGGGCTTTCTGTTCTGGAAGCATCCTGGCTTGGTGGCTTGGGGTTGATCAGACTTGGATTTGAACCACAGCTCTGCGGCTCACTGACTAAGCAATTCTGCCACCCACCAGGCTGAGCAAACGCTACATTGCATTTATCGATTTCTGTACGTTTCCTCTGGTACGCTGTACGTTACTTAAAGGTTAAAGTTATGCCTTGTCTCCTTGCTCAAAGCATCTCAGACAATATTTGATACATACCAGGTATGCAGTTGTTTACTCAACGGTGAACCAAAGACATTCTATGAAAGAATTAGCCTACTTTTTGGCAATGGTATTAGAATTACTGGAGCCAGGCACGATGCACGATTCTCCCGCACTGCCTTCGAATATGCTCTTCAAATCATACAATGCTCAAAGATGCCCTGGACGACGCAAAGCCTGCTGCTAAGCACTACAATCCAGAAACATAAAAATGAATAAAAACGATGGAGCGCCGGGGTGGCTCAGTTGGTTAAGCATCCAACTTTGGCTCAGGTCATGATCTCACTGTCTGTGAGTTTGACCCCCACATCAGGCTCTGTGCTGACAGCTCAGAGCCTGGAGCCTGCTTTGGACTCTGTGTCTCCCTCTCTCTCTGGTCCTCCCCCACTCATGCTCTGTCTCTCTCTGTCTCTCAAAAAATGAATAAACGTTTAAAAAATTTTAATGAATAAAACGAGGCCCCAATACTTAATCTTGAGAAACGTAGAGTCTAGTGGCATAAACAAAGCAAGTTCACAAATAACAGACAATGTGTGATAGGTAGTGTGAAGGGTTAACATAGCATTATGAGCGCTAGCCCTCAGGAGCTGAGGTTATGGGGGGGAATGGTCTGCTGATGGATTCTAACTGTGCTGGAAATGCCAGCAGACAGGAATGTGCCAGACTACATTCCCGCCAAGGAAGGAGCCTCAGCAGAGATCACTGGAAAAATCATTACATCTTGCGGGACTGGGCAGGAGTGGTTCCGTCTTCCTGGAGCATGGGATTGATTAACAGGAGAAAGCGTTCATACAGAGACAGCAGAGAGTTAGCTGGGGACTGGGCAGAAGGCTCCTGAGAGCCACGCCTGGGTTCCCCATTCAGTGGTCCCATGCACCATATCTAAAACACCAAGTAATTCAAGAATAGAAGAAGACAAAAAACGAAAAAACAAAAAATGAAAACCTCCATAAACACTGCCTTAATGAGTTGAAAATTATTTATGTATATGAAAATGTTGTCTTTAACTTCTGAAAAACTGTAACAGCACATTCTGTAAATGCAAGACACTGTTACTATCATTTTTATGACCATCGTTGTTAGGGCAGAGCAGATTCACACACGTCACAGGAGCTACAGAAGGAAATTCAATAACATAGGGATTCTGGGCCTTGTTCCAAGATCTCCTCCCACCCACCCCCAGATCTGCATTCTAAAGTAAAATAGCTTAAGGAAGAGGAAGTTGCAGGGCACCTGAGGGGGGGAGGGGCTCAGTTAAGTGTCCGACTCTTGGTTTTGACTCAGGTCATGATTTGACGGTTTGTGAGTTCGAGTGCCACACTGGGCTCAACACTGAGCATGGAGCCTGCCTGAGATTCTCTCTCCCTCTCCCTCTGCCCCATGTGCGCACACACGCCCTCTCTCTCTCTAAATAAATAAACTTAATAAAATTTTTAATAAATAATTTTAAATAAAAAGGAAGAAAGAAGTGCTTGTTTGCTTCTTTATTCCATCTCAGTTTTTAAAAGTTTTCATTTTAGGGGCACCTAGGTTGCTCAGTTGGTTAAGCTTAAGTCTGACTCACGATTTCAGCTCAGGTCATGATCTCATGGTTTGTGAGATCGAGCCCCACTTCGGGCTCCATGCTGACAGCACAGAGCTTGCTTGGGATTCTCTCTCTCCCTGTCTCTGCCCCTCCCCCACCTGTGCTCGCTCTCTCACTCACTCTTTCTCAAAAATAAATAAAGTGAAAACAAAATTTTACTTTCATTTTAAAACCAAGTCTCCCAAATGACCTCTGGCCATACATGTAAACACTAAAAGTAACAGGAGAAAGGGAACTAGCATTTACCACGTGACCTTTCCCCCTAATTCTTAAAATTTACTTTTTCATAAATGTTTGGCTCCTCTAGAGCAGGGTAAGGGCAGACTTTATCTCATGTAAGGGCAGCAGTTTACAAAAGCCACCTTGGCCCCAAGGCTGTCCGCACAGTGCAAAGGCACTCTGGTCTCAGCAGTGGAGAAAAGAAAGAAAAGAGACTACTGTTTATTGAGTCTCTACTGTGTGCCTGAAACCAAAGAAAGTGATTTACATGTTACACCTTTTGTTCTCACAATACCCCCTAGCTGCATCTCTGTCTTCCTCTCTCTCTGCCTCTCTTCCACTCGTGCTCTGTCTCTCAAAAATAAATAAATGTTAAAAAAAATGCAACCCACACTACACTTACTGGCTTATGAGAGATGGACACAGAGGGGACAGAGAAGATGTGGGAATGACCTTGGGTTTCTGCCACCAAGAACCAGGGGCCCAGGCTATGTTGAAGACTCCAGGGAGGGAAATGGTTTAGACGCAGGATTAGGAAAGGTCAGAACCAGAAACACACAACAGGACCTGTGGACGAAACTGACGGCTCAGCTGGAAAACGCACACAAGAAGTCTTGTCATTTTTGTCCCAATAATTGAAAATATCCATTAAGCCTGACCAGTTGGCACCACTGATGTTAATGTTACAGAGCGATCGCGATTCACTCATGGCCCTGACAGCACGGGTTGTCATGGGGGGTCCTACAACATGGGGACCACCTTCCACGTACAGGCAAATGGCAGACAATTCTGTGTCCCATGCGTTTTGCTTTAGGACTTAGGCCTTTCACCACATAGATAACTTCACGTGCACTGACACTTTACTGTTTTGAAACAACAGGAATTGGTTACTTTTGTCAATGCTGTTTTTCAAATACAAAATTACATCCTAAGTTGAATAAGCATTTTCCTTTCCTTTCGATGAGATACATCCTTCTATAGCTGGTTGTGTCACTCTCCTCTCTCAAGCCTAAGTTCAGAAGTTCTGATGTGATCGTAAAGACACCATGACGTGCACAAATTAAAAATTAAACAGGAAGGAAATGCAGGAATGTGATACCTTGGAGTAGTTCCAATAATAAACTCTATTTCAGTGTCTCCTAAAGTGGCTATTAATGGTTTGCCTGGGCGGCTCCGAAGACGTGAATCTCACATTGTTTTTTATTATTTTTTTTAGGTTTATTTTTTTATTTTGGGAGAGAGAGGGAGAGCAGGGTAGGGGCAAAGAGAGAGGGAGAGAGCGAGAATCCCAAGCACTGCACTGACAGTGCAGAGCCCAGTGTGGGGCTCGAACTCACAAACCATGAGATCATGACCTGAGCCAAACGAAGTTGGACACTTAATTGACTGAGCCATCCAGGTGCCCCTTATATTCTTCTTCTTAGAGCAATTGCTCCTGAAGTGGCCAAGGAATGTCTCTAAAAATTTAGAACTCTCTGGTTTGGGCAGCCAAGGAGAGAGCTGCATAATTTAGCCTTCTCTGAATAAGGACACACTCCTCTCTTCACACTCTCTGTTTTTATGAAAAAAGAAGAGCACATAAAATTATGTACACACTATCCACTGAATCCAGGAGGCAACTACATGGGATGACCATGGTCTCTTCTTGTCTGGATAAGACATGGAGACTTGGTCTTCCACCCTAGCCCACATGCAGATGATTCATTCACTCAGATACCCACATGTCCCTGCAGAAATTCAGAAAGCATTTACCAAGTGCTCACTCCAGCTCTGTGCAAAGTTCCACAATCCAGGACTGGAAGGAGGCCATCAGGTCCGTGACAGTGCAGGGTATTTGCTTGTGCTGGTGTCCTATGAGCACACACTGCACTGTTGGCCAACCTTCAGGGTACTAGATCTTTGACTTCTTGCTAGGTGTGTTCCAAGACTTAAAGCAATAGCTTTAATGTGCCCTAACTTGAGAGGAACAAGAGGAATCATCCTTTGCAGCTTCTGTCAAGGTCCTGTACTTGGTCTCTTTCTGGTCTTTTATAGATTTATGTCTGTGTCATTATGACATCCACTCCTCGTTCTGGCAGCTTTCAACACATTAGCCATTATGGCATCAAAGTCTCTAAGAGGCTGGCATGCGCCTTCCTCTAATTCTGGAAAACACTTTTGAGGAGATAAGCAAAAACAGGTGAGAGAGGGAGTGTTCACAGCCTTCTGTCCCACTTGAATGACCTTCAGACTTAACAAGTTTGAGAATAACATACAGGAGAGAGAAAGTACAAATCTCAGACACGAGCAGGTTTATCCTACGTGTGACAGAGCCAACTGAGAATTAGAAGGCAATGGAGGAAAGAAAGGTGGGGAGCCTAGACGGGAAACAGAGGTAAGCGAGAAGGGACCTCAGAATGCAGATGCAGGAAGGACTAGCCAAAGCTGTTTTCAATTATGTATCTACCTGCTCAGGTACCAGACTCCTAAAGTCTGCTCTCTTCCATCCTTCCACATCTTTAAAGCTGAGGACATCTTAGTGCTCCAACTTAAAAACAATAATTATTGGTGGGATTAAAACACACACACACATATACACACACACACACACACACACACACACACAGCTTGAGGAATATTGATCAAGGGAAGACAATGGACATTCACCCTGGCACTCGACAGCCTCCTCTTTTCTAGGTGCCTGGGTTGGTCAACCTTGTCTCAGAACCACTTTTCCAGGAAACCTGATACCTCCAGTACCCAACCCAGAATACAACATTTACACCAAAACTCAGTGACACAGAAGTTTCCTAAAGCCTTCAAATCATCCCGACACTCTGAGACTGGATCTTCCTTCTACAGTGGCCC